CCCCCAATTATAGTTGACATAGCCCCTAACTCTTTCTACTTTTGCATTTATGTTCATAAAAATAACTCATAAATGAAATTTTATATGAAATGCAGACACCTCAAATAAAGCATGATAAGCAAAGAATGTATTTGAATATAAAGTTGATCTATCTGGTCAATTTTCATTTTATAATAAAGGGACAAAAATACTGTAACAATGCTATATAGTGTGCCATTATAAAACATGTTTGTAACCCATCAGTGTGAAAGCCTCGTTTCACACATGTTTATTAGAAAAAGTACAATTATAGGCAATAATATCATCTATTAGCCCACTATTATAAGAAATTTTAAAATAAAGCTAGTATAGGTTATCTTTATCTTACTATCTCATTTTTTATGCAAGTTACGTCTACTAGAAGTGATGTGCAGTTTTAAAAAGAGATCCACTGCTGAACTAAGCTCATGGTGGGATGAAGTCCACCATGAGATTTGTTAGTTTCAAGTTACAAATGTGAACTTTTGTGAAATGAAAAGTAGCTGTCCAAGTAGTCACACTTCCACAAAATAAGGGGAACCAGTAAAATTAACTTACTGTTATATAGTATACCAAAAATATAAAACCAAGATATAGAGGGAAAAGATCAGGAATGACTTCTTGCATAATAACTGAAAGCTTAGATAGAAATTTACAATCCATATAAAGAAAAATAGGCATCAATGGTGAATAGATTGTGAGTTAGATAATCTTAAGTTTTTATTATTGTAAACTGAAGTTGTAAAACCACAATGCAAGTCAATTGAGTTTACAGATATTATGAACTTCAACAAAAATTCTGTTTCCAAACTCGTTAAGTTAGATATGATAAGCAGCAAATATGTACAAGAATCATAGATTTGAAGCTTTTTTTTTTATGTTGTCAATTATTATCTGTGCAGATAGGAAATTTAACCTTAATTTTGATTTTTGCCCCCAACATACATTTTTACCTAAATTAGACATTTTTGGTTTTTTCTATAGATAAAATATTTCACACAATTAATCATCTTCTTCCTGGTACAATGTTTATGATGGCAAATTACATCAAGTTTTAAAATATCTTATCAAGTCACACAAAAAAACTAACAAATATTCAGATGTATAATTTCAGTTTAAAGAATATTTAATTAGAATTTACTTATTTTACATAAAATTTCAAAAAATCCAAACTCCCATTGCACAGACCCACTATTTTTCAATACACACAGTTTTATTAAGTGGTATTTACACTTATCATAGGTCACAAAAGGTAACCTTATGTTTAGGTTTACTAAATCAAAACTATATTGCTACAGGACAGTGTCAATTAGAGCATTAAGTAATATAATTTCTATCATCCTTTAGAGAAGCTAAAATTGCCTTCATCAAATGTGTATAATTTTTTCTATTCTGAATGTTTAATCATAATAGATATATAACTGGTTTAATTTTAATAGTCTTGCATTGTCCAACTTTGTACTTTCAGTGGGTCATATTGTGTGTAGAGTAATAATCAAATTTAGTAATTTTTTAACATTCTATTTAGTGGCTGATATACCTGTATTATAAAATGTATATTTGAAAACAAGAATTATTTTTTGGACATCCAACCTAATGTGAAAAATAATAGTTGAAGTATGTTTTCAAGAATAGGTCTTTGCTTAGACAAGTCTTTTTAAGTTTTATTTGACTCTGTAAGTTTTGTACATTCACAGACAAATCTTTAGTAAAAATACTTTGCTAAAAAATCTAATTTTGTATACAACAGACTTGTAATGTTTACTAAAAGCTTGCCAAATGTCATAAAGATGCACATAGCCACAGGAGCTGGACACTAATTACCATTCGAAGGGGGAGTCTATCATGGCTTTTTTCAAGTTGATTGGTATTAAATACCAGAATGACATGACAGTACTTAACTCTTTCAGCACGGACTCAGTCCCTCTACAGACCTCGTAACCATTTTGTGCTTGTTATAATTAAGTTAAATTAGTAAGCGTATGTTAACGAAATTTATCAGATTATCAGTAAACATTACAATGCTTTCATGAGCAAAATGTTTTTTTATTTTTTATTAAGTCTTAAGGTTTAATGTATTGATAAAACTTTTATTATTGAAGAGTGGCTTTAATATCCAAATGGCTAAAATTTTAAGAATCACGCATTAATTTATTGTTTTAACAAGTTTGATATTATGAAGATCAGTTCAGAATACTTGATAACATTGAAACTGATGGCCTTTGTAGAATGGTACATGGCTATGGTGAGAGTTGTTTAGTGATGGTCACTTTGGTCATTATGAGGAAAATATGAAATTTGAGAAGTGATTGTTACAACATTCTATGCAACAAGAAGTAAAAATGGCTGATAGTTGATAATTTCTCCTTATATTGGTGCCAGGCCAATAACCTACTGAGATATACGAGTGTGCTCCAAATTATAACTTAGATATCAATTTGAGCTATTAGTGTTTCTAATCAAGTCTGCACAGCCATCTTGCAGCTGTGATGAATGACAGAGGGATTGATGCTTTCAGTAGCTGATGGGCCAATCTTTGTTTAAAAAAAGAGAGAGAGAAAATTTTTGTTTCGATTTATTAAGTAGCTAAGGCTTCAAAGGTCTCACTGTATAAAGGAAATTACAAAAAAATATACAGAACAAGAATGCTGTGCCATACTGTGGATCTGAGATTCATGCCATGTTACTACAAAAAACAACAGCAGTCGTGTTCCTTACTTTTGGGCTGTGTGTGCATTATAACAGTGGTGACCAAATCCCACTTTTTGATTACAGGCCATGGTTTGGTGGTGAATGGTGCTAATTAACCACCTTTCTTCTGGTCCATAACTTCAAAACTAGGGATGACTAGTTTAGATAGACCTCCACAAACAAAAGACTACATTCAACTACTTTGGATGTGCTGATATACATCAACTCTGTTCTTGAATTATCTCCGAAAACAAAACATGTGATCCTGTAGTAAATAAAGATTTATTTTCAAGGATGGATCTGCAAGCAGCTGACCTACTGTGTTAAACAAAGTGTTGTATTTTACTTAGCCTGCCTGGCACTTGTTAAGAATTCTGTAACAAGTCTGTTTATTGAAGGAAGTAATGTCAAGGTATTCATCAGAGAGTTGAATTCAACGTGAAAAGAAAAATGTAATGAATAGAGGCTGTGCAAAAGCTTTTTGAAGGTTAGCAGTATGGTTATCATTAATTTGATATTTCATAATCAGTTGTCTGTATGCAAAAAAATGAGCAAAAGAGGCAGAAAGTACTGGAGTGGATAAAATACATTGTAGAAATGAGGCAAGTATAGACTTGGCTATAAGGGAAGAATATTAGAGGCTTTGTCATTTTAAAGGATTTTCTGCCAATTGTTTTTAGTTTTTTTCTACTTTTTAATAAGTATGATGTTTGCAAAAATACCTAAGTATTGCATAGAAAAAAAGCAAAAAGTTGATTCTCTGAGAGGAAAGGGCAAAGAGGTCACTTATAGCTTTGCTCTCTAAAATAGTAATGCTGTTATTGAAACAATTTGACAGCTTATTCAGGAGACTTGCAAATGTGGTGAGGGAAGTTGGAATGTTCTTGGTGTAAATGTAAATTGATACAAATCAGGATATCACTTCTAAAGGTTAATGTTCTGTTATGTGGGATACAACAGAACACATTCACGAGAAGCTTCTTGTAGTAGTAGATTGTGAATCTTCAGCTGGAGAAGACTTGTTTAAATTGGTAATGCTGGTTTATAATTCCTGCCAAACTGACAGGAAAATGCATTGGCAACTCAACTGGTAAATCAGCAAATATGTAAGGATAATATAAAGGCTTTACCATGTAGCTATCAAGAGTCCCTGGGCTAAGTCCACGTACTGAATTTAGTACTGACTTCTGTTAAGGTTGTGATTGCAAATTCAGTGCTATTCAGTTTGATGAACAACATCTCTGTGTTAATTTGGGAGCCATGGCAACAGAGGTTTAGATGGGAAAATGTTTTAACTCACCATCGAAGACTGATCAATGAAACTCAGTAGTGGTCTAAAGACAGTTTTGAAAAAAAATATATGAATGATTTTCAAAATCAGATTGTGCTTTATACATTGACCTTATTGAATGCTTACAGAGAGCAAGAAATTTGAACCTGACACACGCAAGAAGGTGAAAGTTTATAAAGAATTTCTATTTATATACTAAACAGATCTCACCATTGGTTGGCGAGCTACTCATAATGAACAAATATCTGATATTATTACAGCCTATAAGATTCAGGTCCACAATGTAATCCTTGACACAGTTACTGAGAGCAGGCATTGTAGTTTTTTCTACGGTGGAACACTGTACCAACCATGTTTGTCTGGACCCTAGGAAATTTTCTAACATAACAGATCCTTAGCTTAAAACTCCACCATTGGAAGGATTAAGCAAACACTTCCTCAAGTTTAAGGACTGTAGTGGAAAATTTATAATGTGGATTAGTATATCTTTGTATTGGGACAAGCTGAAGAGATCAGCATCACAAAAATACATCGTTAAGGTGGCAAAAGAAACATCTAGGGAAGACAAGAGTAAGGAGTGTGTTAAGGACATAGAAATGCAACTCGCGAATAAGCCATGCTCAACATGTAATAAGTATGCTATTTGTTGCTGACAAGTTCTGTGGCGATACATTTTTTTTTTTTACTGATACCTGTGATGTGATTGCCCTAGACTTACAAGTTTCTATTGATTCAGTTTTTCACAGAAGCTTCTACACATTGATGTTTATAAAGAATTGACCAAGAAGTAGTGTACTGTATCCCACTTAGAATATTTCTTGTTAATGTAAAACGGAAAAGGCTTTTATGAGCCTCCACTTGGATGGAATAACTGACAGAGTTGTGGAAAGGAGTGATCTCCTGTGAAGTCTGCTCATTCTCCAGTGTTTTCTTATTTGTGCGGTTTGTTGTTTATAGGTAGGAATGTAGCCTTACAGCCAATCAGTATAGAGCTTTACCTGTAAAAAGACTGATTGAGGTTACTAGTTTGAATAATGCAGCAGACCTTATTTAAAAGTTTTACTTTATTTCAGTAATAAGTAATGATTCCAGTTTTCCATGTTAAAATTAGGTCTCTCCAGAAATGTTACATGCATATATCAGTTAAATACGGTGTTTTTTATTCACACATTTACTATTATTAGGCAGGTCTGAGCCTACCACACCATCAGCTGATAAAATCATTTTGAATATATGAATTTGTATAAATAAACAAATGAAATCATTGTACATTGCATTCCAAGTATGGCTGTGTAGGTCTCCTATAAATTATATTTACAGCAAACACTTAAAAAGAATTCTGGCACAAGAAAATAGTATAGTTTTAGTTCACTCTTTGTAATTGTTCTTTGCCAAAAGTCATGGTCTTATGCAAAAATAAAAAGTCCAAACCTCTATAAGCAATTTATTAAAATATGTATATATATATATATATATATATATATATATATAAT